GCATGCCCGCACAAATGGCTCTGCATGTCACCTGTGGCACGCATGGCATAGGTTCACCATCATGATACTAGGCCAAACCAGAGCCTTAGTAGAAATCTTGAATTAATGCTTGTAGGCTAGGAAAAAATAAATTTATATTAAATCCCTATAAGATAGTGTCATTGTTCATCAATGAATATCAACATCAGCCCTGGTAGTTATATACTAGATGGGATTTATTCTCAACTATTACCAGTGTTCTGTTGCACATTATTTGTGCCTTCTATTGCAATAGAACAATTTACTTGGTAAAAGAGCCAGTGAGATAAAAACGTGCATACGCAACACCCTGGGTATCTAATAAAATGATGATAATTTAGACCAGAGGAGTTTAAAATATGCTTTGGGTAGAATCCCCAAAGCCCTTTCAAAAAGCTTACCAAATTTTAATCTCTAATATAACAGGAGAAATGATTCAGTATATGGTATAGTAATCCTATTTAGCTATGCATTTAAATTACCAAGAACATTTTTCCTTGCAGCCAAGTCTCTCCACTTCTAAGAATAATTTGGGAGTTGAGTCTTAATATTTTACTCGCTCTAGAAACAGTATAAATTATTAGCAAATTCCACTTACAATAGGAACTCCTAGCCAAACTTATCTGGACTGTGAAGCATTCTCCAAGAATTTAAAGTCTTGTAGCCCTGGTGCTGGTGATTTAGAGGTGCCAAGAAATAGTAACAACTATTTCTTAGGAATAAAAAAAAATTCTGAATTTTTTAGAGAGACCTTGCTTAATTTAGGACAGGGGTATCAAACTCACATCGTCCTGAGTCACATGACATAGTGGGACTTTTTTCCCCTTCACTAAATAAAGGGCATGACCAGCACGTGACGCGAGTTTGATAGCCCTCGTTTAGGACATTAGCAAATTCCAGACAACTCTAAATATCGTGAACTTAGAAATATATACAGAATACACTTACAACTTTTCACAGCTCTTCAGCGTATAAAGTTGTCTAATTTATAGAGTTGCTTCAACTTTTATAGAGTTGCAGACATTGACTATTGGATCTTTATACAGCTTTCTATTAAATTAACAAATATTCATCAGTATGATGCACTCTGCCAACTTAGAATCATATATAAGAGGGAATTGGAAACACTTGCTTTTTCTTTTTCAAATAAAAGTTGCAATCTCAGTTTCATTAGATTTAGACTCTAATACATGTATCTTACAAATCCCATACTCCCCTTTTTACTAAAAATATTTTCAAGTGTATTTAGTTTTATTTGTAACTAGTGATAACTTTACACATCTTATCTGAAATTAGTTAATGTGATTTCCTTCCATTGCAGTGATCAAATATTAATATTTAAGTACTACTGTTGACTTTTTACCTGTGGCTAAGAATGCTGCTATGTTACAAATGAGTATATATGCTATTTTCTTTCTGTCAGTATGTCTTCCTTGCTTTTCATCAAATTCCCAATGTTTCTCTTTTAAACGTTCAAAAAGTCCTTCCTTCCTATTCAAGGTGGCAAACTCCTTCCTACTTCTTCCTATTTTTCCAACTACCACCACCCTTGGGGGTGGGTTAGGCTGAGAGAGAGTGATTGGGTCAAGGTCATCCAACTAGCTTTTATGCCTAAGGCAGGACTAGAGCTCAGTTTCCTGGTTTCTAGTCTTAACCTTAACCAGTAGACCAAACTAGTTTTCCTACTAGAAATCATACTAGAAAACTCAACCATGACCAAAGTAACTGAGACATTACCATGTTCAGGTCATGGCTTTAATGAATAGGTCAAGAAAAAATATATAGCCCTCTTTTTTTCCTTCTGTTTTTGCAGAGTTGTTCACAACACTCCATCATTTCCAGCAGCAGAAAGAGAAGTCAACTCTCTCTTAAACTGATTGAAGAAGATTAGTTGAAGCTAGCCCAAGCCTGGCTGTTTAGGGTTAAAAGTAGCCCTGATTAATTCCGCTGTTGACTGGGTTTGGGGAGAATGCTCTCTTTAATACTGTGCCATACTAACATAGTCATAAGGTAGTAGTAAGAATATTATTATTACAGCAATGTCTTGCTTCAACAAGCCTTAATGAAATGGACTTAAAATTCAGTGGACAAAATTTGTGCCAATGCCTTCTTTCCAAATAGTAGACAGAATAAAGAATATTCAAACCAGTCTAGACATAATTACACTAATAGTGTAAATGATGTAAACGACATCCTTTTAGTTTGAACAGACGATGTCGCTCTTTTGATATATTGAGGTCTTGAAGTATCATTGGCACAATGTTTCATCAATCCAGCATAATCTTAATTCCATTAAGGAATGATCTTTTTCATTGCTTAGATGTTTAAACTTTATAGATGTTGGAGATAATTCAGCATTCCTTCCATTGAAGGAACCTATCCTGGATCCAAGCTTTTATATATAAAATAATGTATCCTAGTCTCAAGCATTTTTCAATTTTGTTTGTTTATTTTTACCCACCTTTATTGTTTTTTTTAAATAACTTGAGATGGTGTACATAACTAATACTCTTTCCTTCTCCTATTTTGCCTAAGCACACCCCTCAGAGAAAGCGACTGGCCTAAAGTCACCCAGTTAACTTTAAAGCCTCAGGTGGCAGTAGAATGTATAGACTTCTAATTTCTAGTGTGGTGCCTTAACCACCATGAAACCAAACTGGCTTTCCACCTTTGCATAATTGTGAATTGTTTAGGTCCTAGACCACAATTTAAAAGTTACAGACTCAGAAATTATCTTGTGGCTTCCCAGAAGATATAGGAAGTGATGTGGGTTGGGGATTTAGTTCACAACACCTACGGACAACACCAGGTTGGTAAAGATTGTTATTACTTACTTATTTATTTGTATCCCACCTTTATTATTTCTACCAATAACTCAAGGCAGTGAATACATACAATACTTTCCCCCCTTCTATTTTCTCCACAACTCTGTGATAGTTGTAGTTGTGGTCTTGGGTTGGGCTGAGAGAGAGTGAATGGCCCAAGGTCACCCAGCTGACTTTAATGGCTAAGGCAGAACTTGAACTTACAATCTTCTGCTTTTTAGCCCAGTGCCTTAACCATTAGACCCAACTGGCTCTGTATGTTATAAAATTGTACATATAAAATGAGCTATGTAGTCTTATCTTCTTTCTTCCATTGCTAGAAATTAATGACTTTTTTAAAATCTTGTATTAAATTTATTGTGGTACATTGCAGGCTATTGTATTTCTGGAAGTAATTTTGTTGCAAATAGCCTAGCCTGACTCTAGACAAATTGAATACAGCTTTAGTGATAGCTTGGGCTAACTCAGCTATCTTTGGATTACACGAAACATTTTCTTGTGAGATCTCATATATAACATTTCATGCATTTTGGACATTGAGAAATTAATCTAAATGTTATATTGAATTATTTCTCACTGAGTACCTTCTTAATTGGTCCATTACTTCAGCCAAGTGGTATGGTGGCAGCATGTACACCTTGAGGTACAGTACTGTCTTACCAAGTAAGTGCTTTAGAAGCATACCAAGTCATTAACTGTGAAGCCTTTATCACAAGTAGGCAAGGAACTTAGTTGAGTTGACTAGGAAGCATATGTCCATTTTTCATTCTTCACAACAGATCCAAAGATGTAAAAATTGTTATCAATGTAAAAGTAGAGTAACATGTGGCATAATGCTTGTTTCAGGGCACAACAATTATAATGAAAACTAAACTAATGTCTTCTATTGCTAGGAAGAATCAGCTAAATATATAGTAAATATAGTAATATTTATATTATAATTCTACTGGTATAATATATAATAAAAATATATAGTAAAAGTTGCTTTGGACGCCTGCAGTGTTTTATTTCCCTTTCCATCTGCCATAGCAGCATGTCTTCTCAGAGAATGTAGACTAATAGTATAAGCAGCACAGTTGTCATAAGCAGCACAGTTGTCATACCTCTTCTGGAGTTTTTCTGAAAATTAAACGTTGTTACCCCCATGGTCTTGCAAGCTGTAGGACAGCATTGCAAGAATTAGTCCTCAGAACTGGGCTTTTAAAGGTTAGAAAGCAGAGTGATATGACATGCTTAATTAGTTCAAAAACTAATCAGCTTTGCTAAAACACCAGCAGTAAATTGAAAACAGTGCAGTTGGATCCACCTCAGTATTTAACCCATGGAGAAGAAACTTTACAGATGTCATTCATTCTGACAACTTTATTTAAGTTCTTAAATGGCATGGTCACCAAGATCAAAGACCTTTTTTAAAAAATTGGCATGACTCCTTCGAGTAGCAGGAGTGATTTGGTGCCTTGGATGTCTCTCAGTTGGCCAATTGTCATAATCTGTTGAGGAATGGCAGATTCTGTTTCCCTTTTTTAAAATTTTGTCTTTAAAAGTTGTCGATAATTTGGTTCCATAATTGATAAACTGTCTGGAAAAGATACATGAAATTATTCCTATTTTTTGTACAGTTTTCCTTTGTGATATTTGCATGTCCTTTTTTTCCAGTGATGTGTACTTTTGTGAATGCTTTTCTCTGTTGCATGTGCTGATGTGCACATTCTCATTTGAAAAGTCTTAAGTGAAAAATGTTCTTGTGTCCATTTCTCTTGATGTATCTTGGCATCTTTTCTGACATTCCAAGAATGCCCTACCTTCCAGAAAGACCCACATTTACTGTAGCCCCTTTTTTTCCTGAAACTCTTTTGTGTTGATAAAATAGAAAGTTTCAATGTTGGTAGTTACTTCAGTATATTTTAGACTTTGTGAAGACCTGATTTCTCAATCTGACAAGTGAAAGAAGTCAAGAATAACCTGAAGAGGATGCCTAGAAGTATCTCTAAGATGGGCTGTGGTTATATAGGTTGCACTTTTTAAATTCTTGTATTTCATGTCTGCTAAAATCCTAAAACTACCTCTTATTTTATGTATACGTATACATGGCACAAAAGGTAATATGGCACATAAAAGTCAACTTTGGTTTCTTTCTTCCCTCTTTCTTCTCTGTAGTCAGCAGCAGAATATGTGAAATCCCGCTTACCAGAAGTCCTAAAGCAACATCTTCAGGATTATGAGAAAGATAAGGAGAACAGTGTACTATCCTATCAAACCATCCTGGAGCAACAAATTCTCTCAATCGACCGAGAAATGCTGGAAAAATTGACTGTATCCTACGATGAGGCAGGTATGTTGGTTGACAATTTAAGTGTGGCCACAGTTTTGTGGCTCAGTTCCACGTAGCAGGTATTTTTACCCAGGTATTCTTTGAAACCAGCTATTTAATGATGCATTATGATATGCTCCTTTCTGTATTACTCTCATATAACAGAAGCATTATTACATTAATGTATCTATGTTTTATATTACTTTGACATTCTCCAGGCCAAGCATTAGTTGGTCTATTCAGCCAAGCAGATAGAATGCTAAACTAAATAGTATACTTCTTTTTTAAAAAGGCGGTTGACTCTTCAAATCATTAGCATAATCATTATTTTTTTCATATTGCAGAAAAATAGCGATTTCAGTAGAATTCTCCACCTTTTCTACTTGTTTCCTTTAACCAAATCTTGATCATGTCCTGTAATGTCAATTCCTTCAGTCAACCCTGAAAAGGATATGCTAATTTGGTACAATATATGCTGCATAGTCAGAATTCATATTAATTTATTCTGAAGATATTTTGCTTCATTAGCCACCACAGTATTCTCTGTGGATGATAATGAGATTATTTGCCCAGTTGAATTTTTGGATTTTTTAAAATATAAAACAATGTGAAAATTGCATGCCCCAAACTAAAGTATTATGCACAAAATAATATTTTTAGTATCTGTTTTCCTAGTAATGCCATACTGAAATATTTTGTACCCCACCCAGAAAAAAAGAGAAGCATAATGTAAGATGGCAGCTAAGATCCTGAGAAATTTGAGGGGATGGCAGGAAGCAGCCATCTTCTTTCGCTTCTCAGTATTTGTCTTTAAGATGATTGTTCATACAATTTGTGGCAGACATTTTGTGTGAATACTCATAGCATGTTTCAGAATTTCAGATACACTGACAACCTTACATGCTCAGTTCATCTTCCTATTTTTTGTTTCCAGTCCTGAAATTGTTTAGGGGATAAAAAAAGGGATAAAATAGGAAATCGTGTTTATATATTATTCACAACATTTCTTTATACCTTTCTAATCTTACAAACCATATTTGCTTCTTCCAGCTGAGGAAACTGGATTCTCTACTATACAATCTACAGTATCTTCTATAGAATTCCTTCCATGACAGGAGTTCATTCTGGACATGATGAGGGAGATAAAAATGCTAAGGAAAGGTATACACAAAACTAGCATTCTTATTTTCCCCTCACATTTTCCCCATATAATTTTTAGTACCACTCAAGTATGCTATGTTCTACAACAACATTCTTGCACCTACAAATTATTATGTCAGCTCAGTAATGATACAGGAATTTCTCATTCAACACCGCTAATTGGGACTGGAAACTCCATTGTTAAGTGATACAATTGTAAGATGAAAAACCATGTGACTACACCACTTAGCAACAGCAGTTCTAATTGCTGTCATTAAGCGGGGATCATGTGTGTTATTAAGAGGCCTCACGTGACTATGACTTGTGACTTACTGCCAGCTTTCCATTGTCTTTACTTACCAGAAGCTGGAAGTGAAGGTCACAAATAGTGATCACATGACCATGGAATGCCACCAGAGCCATAAATGTGAGGATTATTCATAACTACCACTCATTCAGCACCATTGCAACTTCAAATGGTCACCAAACAAGTGGTCATTCAGGTAGCACCAGCTATATCTACAAGTTTTTCAAGTTTTGATACAAAAAAAACCATCCAATTTTTTTGGGGGGGGGATAATAACAAGAAAAAAGAAATAACAAGAAACCTTTTTTAAAAAATTTTTGCATTCAATGTGCGTCCCTTTACCTACTCTTCTGTTTTGAATATGAAGAACAGTTACAGGAACTGGGCATGGCTAGTCTAATGAAGAGAAGGACCAGTGGAGACATGATAGCAGTGTTCCAATATTTGAGGGGCTGCCACAAAGAGGAAGGGCTCAAGCTATTTTCTAAAGCAGGGGTCTCCAATCTTTTGGACCTCAGGGACCACCAAAGTCATAATTTTAAATCCCAGGGATCACTAACCATTTCTGTGGGCGTGGCCTAATTTGTGGGTGTGGCTTGGTGGTCATGTGACTGGCTGGGCATGGCTTGTATGTAAATATTATAAATATTTATATAAATATTGAATTATTTTTATAAAAAAGAGCAACTTTTACCCAAAATTAGGCAAAGCAGGCAGGCAGATTGAGTTGCTCACAGAATCATTCAGTGATCTATCTATCTGCCATTGGCTAGCTCAGTCTGTCATGTAAAATTTGCTTGCCATGAGTCTGCACTGAATAATAGAAATTTCAGTCCTAAGGAAAGTTCAGCTGTGCTTAGGAGCAGAGCCGAAGATCTAAAAACCATCTAGAAAGCAAGAAATCCAACTATTTCCTTCTTCCTAGCTAATCTAAATCTCCCGGCACAACAGAACAGCTGATGGTCGGGGAATAAAGGAAAAATAGCTATTTAGCAGGCAAGTTTTCCAGGTAAGCAGTGAGTGAGCAGGGAGGGCTCCCGCGGGCCATGTGGGCGGCGCAGCCTTGTGTTACTATGCAGCCTGGATTAATTGCTTTGGGGGGGGTTCTCTTCATTTCTTTGTGGCCCACCAAAATTTTCTTGCGGACCACCAGTTGGCGACCACTGTTCTAAAGCACCTGTAGGCCAGGCAAGGAATAACGAATGGAAACTGATCAAGGAGAGATTCAACCTAGAAATAAGGAGAAATTTTCTGACAGAACAATCAACCAATCAACAATCACCTTGCCTTCAGAAATTGTGGGGACTTCATCACTGGAGGCTTTCAAGAAGAGATTGGACCACCATTTGTCAGAAATGGTGTGGCGTCTCCTGCTTGGGCGGGGTGGGGGTGGGGGTTGGACTAGATCTAAGCCCCTTCCAACTCTGTTAATCTGTTAAAGATATGTTAAAGATTTTTTTAAAAAAAGAATGTTAGACTGAAGAAGGAAAATTATAGATTTGTTATGTTATGAAGAATGACATTTAAAAATGGGAAGGAATGTTTTTACCTTCACTCAAAAATATTTGTTTGTGCAATAGAAAACTTGTCAAACATTTTTTTTCCTACATAGGTAGATTTTAATGCTGAAGTAAAGCAATCAAATATGAGTGAAGACCAACTGTAAGATAAACACAAAAATATATTTATCTGGTGCACTTAAAAAAACATCATTAGAACGGTGTATATATACTATGAGTGGAAGTCCTGTATTTATATCTATAATGAGGCTGAGTGACAGACTTGGCATTCTAATCAAATCTCTTGTTTAGCTTTAATGGTGCTACCTGTTCTGAAGCAAGGCTTGATTGCGACTGCTGTGCAAAGAAGTGTGTGTTTTAAAATAATAATGGTAATAATAATTGCAGCAGATGTTCATGATTTGAAACCCCCCTATCATTAAGCTTCACATCAATTCCAAAGTAACATTTCCTCCTGTCATGATAGATTCCAGTGCTTTATCAACACCCTTCATTTTAATGAGAAGGTCAAACTGGTTTCAGATCTACCTGGGTTGTGAATAGATAGACAACTGAGGATGGGCAGGAGATGCCATTGTTTTAAAATAGAGCAAATTATAGCTCTTTCAGGTGACAGCCTAACTCTTTCCATTTGCATCAGCAGGATGGTAGAAGTGCACATCTTCTGGCTGCCTCTGAAATACTTAACATTTATAATCACAAGCAGCTGGAATTCTATTAAGTCCCAGTCAAAAATTCTGTCTGTGAGGGATCTGTTATGCTGTGCAGAGTACCAGGTACATGGCCTGCAACGGTAGCATTAAAGTCTTGCAAACTGGTTGGTTTTTTTTACTTCTGATGAGGATACGTGGATGCAAAACTGCTATTGTAGGAAATAGCTATATTTGACCAAAAATCCAAGTTGGTAAATAGTTAGATTTGATTCCAGATGCAGATTGCAGATTTGATTTTCAAGTTATACAACAAAATGTCAAGATTAGCAGATGATTCCCAGGGACCAGGTTTTGTTTTTGCCCAAAGAAAGTAGAAAAATAAGGCGATCCGAACTATTTTGCTACATATTACTTTGTTTTGCCATATATAAAATCCAACTGGCAAATGAATCTAACAGTGTATGTGGTAGGATGGCCTTTTCTAGTGCCCTTGATGCAGCTGACAAATTAGGAGGCCAAACAGTAAACATAATCTTGGCTTTCTATAGAGGGAAATAACTAGGAGCCATTGCTTTTTGTTCATGGTATATGCTCCAGAGGTGGTATTCAGCAGGTTCTGACCAGTTATGGAGAAACGGTAGCAAACATTTTCAGTAGTTCGGAGAACCAGCAAATACAACCTCTGACTGGAGATTTTACAGAATCCTTCCCCTGCCATGCCCACCAAGCCATGCCCACAGAACCAGTAGTAAAAAAATTTGAACCCCACCACTGATATGCTCCCTAAAATAGTTGCTTTTAAATAGTTGCTTTTAAACTGTTAAATATTAGAGTAGACTACTCTGAGAGAGTTTCTAATCTAGATTTTTTTAGATTGTGTTCCATGGAAACTTCAAGTTAAGGAAGAAATTAGTGGTGTTCCATGAGAAATTGTGGAATGGGGGACCATTTATCTATCCAAAACACACAAACAAACACACTGTTCCTTTCCTTTTTGTTCTCACCAACTGGTTGCATCTGTGCACAATTTTCCCCAACAAACCTGAACTTCCCCTGTTTTGCTCTCCGAACTTTTTGGGTAACTGTGTTGTAGAAGTCAGTGGGATTAGACAACTTACACAGAGTGGCATTTCAGTCTTCTAGCTTTTTCATAATGATGTCATTTCACACATTGTGTAAAGTTCAGACTTTAATAAGGACCAAATCATAGATTACACTTTAATCACAAGTTGCCTTTAAATACCATTTTCCCAATTATGATTGCAACCACCAGCATGTATCTTAAAGCAAAGTATTTTGGAACCAAAGGGATTTCCTAATGTGATATGACATGTGAATCTGCTGTTCATGGAAAAACACATCTTATTTCCTACCACGAGGTTCTTCAAAGTGTGTCTTTCT